AGACTTCCGCGCAAGAAGGACCAACAGAATCAACATAGCCTGACTGCTGTGTTCAAAGCAAACTTGAGAAAAACGAAGTATGCAACCATGGCTTAAATCCACTATAGGCTGAGTACTAGTTTACCTTAGATGTGCACTTTATAATGTTATATTGCTCTGTTTTGATTCCATAAAAAGAGCTGTTAAAGCAGCTCTTGTGTGACAAAATATTTTTTTCACTGTTGTTGATGGACAGTAATATTGTGTGAGAGATTATGTGTGAATAACTGCTTCAAGTGAAAAATGTTCATGTAAAATTGAAAATCAAAATTATTTCAGTAAATATTTGCATTTTGCACATAGAAAAGTGATTCATGATTCCATGTTGATGAGAGCATTAAAATGGGGAAAAATAGGACAAAAAATATAAAAGGAAATTCAGAAACGATAAAAAATGCGTGAGTAATCATAATTAATTTTTTGTGAATTTGAGTTAATTATGACAGTTGCATTTTTAATTAGATTACATATTTTAATCGTTTGACAGCTCTAATATATATACATATATACACAGCTGTATATGTATGTGTGTGTGTGTGTGTATGTATGTATGTATGTATGTATGTATGTGTGTGTGTGTGTGTGTGTGTGTGTGTGTGTGTGTGTGTGTGTGTGTGTGTGTGTATAAAACACCTTTTTACACTCTCACCAATCCATTCTTTAAATTCCAATGTGAGGGCCATCTATGAGCACTGAGAGAAGTAACCCTGAGTTTTCAGGTTGCTACATGAATGACAAAGCCCTGCATATGTGAGTGCATATGCGCACGCATACACACCCCTGCACGTTTGCGGGTGTGTTGGTGAACCAGGCAGGTATTGTGTGATGTGGGGCTGCGAGAATGAGGTTGCGGGGTGATTGACTTGTCTACATCAACACTGCTCCAAGGCTCTGTCACTCAGAAAGTATAGCTCATTGCTGGGGAACGTGGACCCACTATAGAATAAAGACACTTCACACACTCACAGACTACTCTGCACTTCCCGGCAATAATGTAAAAAAAAAAAATAAAACAAAAAAAAATGCACAAAAAAAAATGAGACATATTGTAATGACACAAAGCTATATAACACTAGAGCACAAGAATGTGTATATAATATTAATGTTGATTACCAGTGGGAGGAAGATAGGTAAAGTTCTGGTACTGGCTCCTCTTCCTCTTGCCATTGCATACGTAGAAGTTAACCTGCAATGGGTTGGATATTCTCTGGTTTCGGTATGGTGGGATCTCAACAAAAAGTGCATTCTGAAACAAACAAAAAAAAAACATTTTCACCCCTTGAGACAGATAGCCAGACAGACATATAAATGGTTTAAATGAGCCCATCTGCACTGAAGGAGTAGAGCCCATGAGGTTGCCCATATTTGTATTTGAGGAAACCTCAGGGCTTTAGCTTTCCTCCTGTACAGCATCAGTCAAGAGAAGTAGCTGGTTTATTTTTTGCTGGGGTTCTTTTTTGCACAGCATTAACTCCACCCCAACTGTGCAAGTCTGGACGGATGTCAGTATTTTTTGACTTTCAGTTTGACACAGGAACAAGGAAAAAATTTGTTCAAGTGTTTGTGTCTAATTGCATCTAATTTCTTGGCTGCCACTCTGGTTGGGATCGAAAAAGGCCAAAACAGTCTACTGTGACAGAGGGCAAGTTTACATTGGCCATAGCTGTGAACAAAATGGTGGGTGGGAAAGGGGTCTGCTGTCCAGATGATTACAAGAAAAATATGCAGGTGGTTGAGTGAGTGTAAAAGTGTGTGTGTGTGTGTGTGTGTGTGTGTGTGTGTGTGTGTGTGTGTGTGTGTGTGTACTTGCTAGGCTTTCCCTGACCATCCCTTGCAGTGAAAGTTAGCACACTTCCAACGGCAATAAAAGTAAATGCAGGTCGGCAGTCTGGAGTGCGTTAAGGCAATCTCGTGACATAAGAAAAGAATTCCAGTGTGCTCCTGCTTTTTCTTCCTACCGTGGTATTTGTATTTCATCAACCTCGTGTCTTTAATCTTCTACTCCTCCTATTTTTTAGCAGTTGGGACTCCAACTATACAGTATACTGTATCAGGTCAACGGCCTGGGAGACAATGAATTCATCTCATGATGCAATTAATTTACAGTAATAGAAAAACACCATAAATTTGCAGAGTTTTTGTGTCCATGCTTTATGTGAGACACTTTTTTTTAATTTTACAAAATGAAACCCTGACTATGTTTACTTGCAGTCAGTATTCAGGTGACAGGTTAAAATGTCAATTTCTGAAACATTTGGAATAACCTGTCTACATGGTTTGAGCGGAAAGTTACCCCCCAACCCCCCATTCGAATAACCCGATTTAAATGGTGATGCACTGACATCCTGACACAATTAGACATCATTTCCACTTGTTACTTTCTACCGTCAATGGCAGAGTCCAAGCACACTATTTCATATATTTTGTACTATGAAGGGGTCACGCCTTTTCGTCTGAATGTCCAAGGATTAAAATGTTGGCCATTGAAAATTACCCACAATGCCCTTGGAAAAGTAGTGTAATGCATCGCGAGTAGGAAAACAACATGGCACAGGAGTGTTCAATTAACTGACCGTTCATGTTTTTGGAATGTGGGAGGAAACCGGAATACCTGGAGAAAACCCCGACGGGCACAGGGAGAACATGCAAACTCCACACAGGAAGGCCGGAGCCCATAATCGATTCCTGGACCTCTGCAGTGTGAGGCGGTCATGCGAACCAGTCGAGCACCGTGCCGACCCTATTCCATTCATATGACCAAATATTCAGGTTCAGAAAGGGGAAACCCAGGGGTCTTATCCTGTTTTTATGCATGTTGGCCTTTTAACACCTGAATACTGCCAATATTTTGGGGTTTTGAAAGGGTTAATGACTGCATGTAAACGTAGTCACTGATGATGACAGACATTAGCGGCTCCAAACACACGGCCACCACTCAATCCTGTACTTAACATTTAAGATTTAGCAGATCTCAGTGTTATGTTAATTGACTCAATTAGCCTTTCCTTTCTCTTGATGAGTCTCTTTGATACCATATTTGATGAGGCAATGTGCGAATAAGTGATTGAGGGTCAGTACAACATGCCCGTTTAATTTCACAGTCTCAATCTCATGAAAAGCTCCACGGCCCCAGCGCAGATTGGGCTCGAATTTACCACAAAGGAACCTTTCACTGTGAAATAAACATCTGACGTTCGTGCGCTTGTTTTTATTATTAATGTGAATGTTTGTGAATCATTGATGCGCAAGCAATATGGTTGCTTGTGTTTACCATGTGTTAGAGCCGAGATTGAAAATTCCATTCAGGATTGCATGGGCTAATCATCAGTGTCCATGTAGCAATGCCTTAGCAAAGGTTACATCATGAAGAGGGACAGATGAGAAAGAGACAGATAAGTAGCAAGTGTCCATGGAGGATATGAAGAGTATGAACAGTGAAATCATGAGGGCACTTACAGATTTGACAGAGTCCTTGTCAACTTTGGCTTCCATCTCCCACAGATGATGACCATCTAGGGCAAAAAAAACCCCAAAAACAAACAAAAAAACCCCCCATTAAAACCATTGTGGACATTGCCAATAACATGTTTGCAATTAGATGGCATACATTCACATTTTATACAGTACATTGGTAAAAACTAGGCTGCCCCTTCGATTCTGTTCATAACCTTTATGGACAGAATTTCTAGGCGCAGCCGAGGCATGGAGGGGGTCCAGTTTGGTGGCCTCAGTATTGCATCTGTGCTTTTCACAGATGATGTGGTACCGATGGCTTCTTCACGCCGTGATCTCCAACTCTCAATGGAGCAGTTCACAGCCGAGTGTGAAGCAGTTGGGATGAAAATCGGCACTTACAAATCTGAGACCATGGTCATCAGTCAGTGTACTGTTATCAATACATTTTAGATACACCGGGTATGTTAACGCAGGTCAACAGCAAGCCAAACTCAAATCTTCATGAGCCAGGAAACTGAGCGTCTTGCTCCTTTCAGCTCGATGAAAATGTAGATTGCAAAGCCATTGTTTTCGAAGGTGTACAGAAAAGGAATGTAACACAGGAGAACCAGTTAGAACGACCACAGTCAGGCCTTTCTGCAGCGATTCGTCTGATGAAACACGTCTGCTACCCACAATGCATTGCGATTACTAGAGGGAGATTTTAAACATAATTACCCTTTACATGGAAAAACATGAATTATGACATTTCAAATCAAGAAATGTTACAAACCCCTTTTTTCTTTTAACCTTTATGAAATGCCCCAAAACTTTTACTGTGGGCAGAACAGTCGGAAAAGGGTGGACTGCCCTCTCCAGGTCGGGGATGAGATCCTGCCCCAAGTGGAGGAGTTTAAGTATCTTGGGATCTTGTTCACGAGTGAGGATCGGATGGAGCGTTAGATCGACAGACGGATTGCTGTCGTTTCTGTTGTGTTGTGGACTCTGTATTGGTCTGTCTTGGTGAAGAAGGAGATGAGCCAAAAGAGGAAGCCGTACTCTACTCGGTCATATGGTCACAAGCTGTGGGTTGTGACCGAAAGAACAAGGTCCTGGATACAAGTGGCCGAAATGGGTTTCCTCTGCAGGGTGTCCGGGCTCTCCCTTAGACATGAGCAGCAGGATGAGCAATGTGGTACTGTACCACCACTATTAAGTTTTATTAGATGACACAGTAAGTGTGACTTCCAGGCTTAAAGCAATATAGTAGTTCCTGCTGCTGTGCTGAGGTGTGTCCCATTTGGGATATTTGAGCACCTCTGGAAAATGTAGGGAAAATAGTGTTAAACGTGTTTTTAACATGACATGGGAAGTGAAAGAATGAAAGATCATGATTGGCTTAAATACAATGACCTTTTGAAGCAGGGTCAGGACTGTCTCCACAATGGCTCTATTAAATCTGAGTTAAAAGGGAATAAAGTCATTTGAAATGAAAAGAGATTTTTAACAGAAAAAAAAGTGCTTGTAAATAGTCGCACACAGTTGCAATGGTTTTAAACGAACGACAGGGGAAAATAGAGAGACTAGACAGGATGACCAAAGGGCATGTCAGGACCACTGATCAGGAGAAGGTGAATGAATTGTGCAACCGAATAAAGGTCTCTGGGGATTCTTCTGGGCCATAAGGATTAGTCAAATTTAGTCAAAAAAGCCAAGGAGACCTTCAATAGATTACATCAAAGGGAACCAAAAGAGTATTTGACCTGCCTTAGCTATGGTCGACACTCCGAAAGAGAAGTCTTAAAGTGTAAAGTCAACTTAAACCTACTTTAGTAGAAATGTTTCCATGTGTAACTTCCTGTAAATATTTTCTCACACGTATTATGGGCTGCAATATTTATTTGATAATTACTTGTTACCGGGCTTGGCTGAGGCCAGAAATAGTCTTTCTTGACAAACTCAAGAGCACTGTTCAACTGATAACCACAGAAATTTCCATTTCACCTTTTTTCCCCCCGCTGCATCTGCAAAATACTTCTGTTACCGACAAAGCTTCCTCCTTCATGCTGCCTTCACCCACGCAGTATGCACCCGCAACATCATCAGCTTTTGCTCCGCCTTTTAATTGTAAATATGTGAGACGAGAGCACATACTGTTGGAGTAACCCTTGCTAGAGGCGTGCCAAAAAATGTTTTGGCTACAATCCAGTCCCACTTAAAATGAGAAATGGATGAACACATCCCTCAATGTAAACTTGCCCATGACTCGCTTAAAGGTGGATAAGAGCTTGACAAAAGCAACATGGACAGACATCCATCAATCCATTATATGAAACCGCTTTGAGTAAATCTACTCAAATTTTCAGTCAACTTTGGGAGAGCATTGTCGTACTGTACAACAGATTTCAAATATTTTTTTTCTTTTCTTTCGTGATGCCCCCGACCTTAGAAGTTACTTATTTTCATTGGCATACAATAAAATGTATATTTATAGTGAATGATTTGACTAATCACAGCGATTTTTCTGCTATTTTCTCTGAAGGGCCTGCTGTCTGCTCCTCAGACAACTGGTAAAAATGGAAACGATGCATCTCTTTCAGATGCTGAGTTCTAAACAATGACTTGACACAAGAAACGTGACAGGGGTTGAGTCATGAACAAATTCTTACACTTCACCTGGATCCCGAAGCAAGGGTGGTGGCTGACCTTATTCTGAAACAGTGCCAAAACTGGGTGCCAGCAGTATTGAAGACAAATGGCAGTCTAGACACTGCTAAAAGTACAATATGCGGAGTAATCTGTCTAATGTTTAGACTTGCCCCTTGTAGCCAGACTCAACAAAGTTGAGTTTGAATGAAATCTAACAGTGCCGATCACTGTCTGAGTTCTATTAAAAGGTGTGACACACAATGTATTCCATTTTTGGACGCGACACAAAGCGTTTGACAGGCTCCGTTGTAAACTTTAGTCTCTTAAAGAAAATACTGCAACTCAGAATTCAGCCTGTGCCAGACGTGGACAGGATCAGACTGTCGTCTGCCACGGCCCTCCATGTGTGAGGCTGCTGACCTCCGGGCAATCCTCCAGTCCAACCAGATGTAAAAACTATCCAGCTCACAAGGGAGTTCCCTGACACTAACCCCACACCCCTCCGAGTCAGAGTGTAGGATTACCCCATCTCTCTATCTCACCTGTTTGTCTGTCTATCTGTTTTACCTGCTGCTAAGAATCATTCCATCCAGGAAAAGCAGGGCAAGCCAGAACACACACTGCACGAGGTGTGCCAGGTATTCCTTCATGCATCAGCATTGAAGAGAATCTCAATGTTCAACTTCTCACACACATGCATAGTAAACAATATTGGAAAGGAATTGCTTTATGTTGTTATTTTAAACACTTTTATTTTACAAAGAATTTTATGGCAATTAAAAAAAAAAAAAGAAATCATGCATTCATCTATTTTCTATAGCGCTTCTCCCGCTTAGGATCATCGCAGAGGCTTCAACACATCGCTGGTAATTTATTTCAGTTCAATTCAATTTTGATGTCGACTGCACAGTGTCAAATCCCAACAGAAGTTGACTCAGGCCACACTTGGAGCAGGTCTAGAACCTCACTCTCCACTTATTGAAAGTCCAGATGAGCCCCACGTGAGCAACCACTAGGCGAGGAAGGAAACAAACCTTGAGCAGACCATTTGGACAAAAGGACGGACCTCAAATGTCAGTCAATCGCAGAGCACTGTTAAAACGGCATTGAGTACGAATATATCCTATGCTCCAATGGATGTCAGCGACGCTATGTGAAACACAAAACTGCTGATGACACACACACACACACACACACACACACACACACACGCACACGCACACGCACACGCACACACAAAAATCACGCCACAACAGAAGTGGGCAAATAAAAACAACTTGGAGTGTTTGTGGAGTTTGCATCTGTTCTCCCATTGGTCAACCAATTGAAAAATAAAGGGCATTTTTTTTTTTTTTTTTTTTTTTTAGACAAGGTCTCCCTTAACCCTTTCTTGCACCTGTAACCTGATAACATGGTAAGCTGTCCACTGAAGTAACCGCTGTCCCTGAAAGGGTTAATGTCGTGAGATCCACTTTTGTGCTGTGCTTAGTGGATACTGGGGATGTCTCCCGGAGTGACAGAAAGAAATACTAGTGAGAGTGTGAATCGATTTCAAAAGATGGTGTTTGTATTCCGTTATGTCATTCATTCATTCATTCATTCATTCATCTTCCAATCCGCTTATCCTCACTAGGGTCGCGGGGGGTGCTGGAGCCCATCCCAGCAGTCTTCGGGCAGTAGGCGGGGGACATCCTGAATCGGTTGCCAGCCAATCGCAGGGCACACAGAGACGAACAACCATGCACGCCCACACTCACACCTAGGGACAATTTAGAGTGATCAATCAGCCTGCCATGCATGTTTTTGGAATGTGGGAGGAAACCGGAGTACCCAGAGAAAACCCACGCAGACCCGGGGAGAACATGCAAACTCCACACAGGGAGGCCGGAGCTGGAATCGAACCCGGTACCTCTGCACTGTGACGTCGACGTGCTAACCACTGGACTACCGGGCCGCCCCGTTATGTCATATTACAGCAAATAAAAGTGCGCTTTACTCTGTAACCTTGACAATACAATTGCATAAAACAGGAAGGAAAAGACGGAAGGCAGCAAAAAGAACAACTATGTGAGCATGACCATGGACAGGCTTAATGAACTGTGCACGTGGATGATGCGTGGGTTATTGTTTACTTAAGTGGGGCCACTCAAACGTGTTCTATTGTAGTTTATTTGTGGAATTTCTCTGAAATTCAGTGGCTGTCCTGATCATAAACGGCAGCACAAGCAATGACTTTTCACTACGATGGCGAGAGTGTTGATGTGTATGCAGCACAAAGGGCCTGACTGTACATGCACATCAACAGCCAAGTTTTGTTTCACTGTGTGTGGAAGCGCATGCCTTTGTGTAGTAGTTATTGGGTGCATGTAGGCATGGACTTTCCCAAAGAAAACTAAAACCAAAAGTGACAAAATAAACATGGAGCATGTAGTAATTGACCTTGTATTGTTTTATTTTTCATGACGCGATTTAAATAGTCCTTGTGTAAAGCAAAAAGAAGAACTATTTCAAGTATGTGAAACTTCATGAAATGGAAGGCTTCTGATTCAATACCAGAAGTCTGTAAGCTAAATATTTGCGAAAGTACTTTTTTTTAATACTCCGAACTCTAAATGCAGTAGTTTCCATGCAATCTTTGTGCCACACAGACACACATAAACAACAGTGTTATCTTTCCAGTGAAAAGAGAAAACCTCACAATGGATTTTGGTAAAACAATTACAAAAATACAAGTTATACTGAAAATGAAGTCATGAAAATCTTCCACTGCTTTACTTGTGGTGCAAGAAAATAATGGTACGAATAAAATGTACGCATGAAACTGGCCTTGATGAAAACGATGGTACCTTTAAGGTTATTTTTTTGTTCAGGTGATCATTGCAATCCAACAAATTTTCTTAACTCTCAATAAGACTGGTGAACTAGTTGACAGGTACTGTATTTTGGCAGAATGCTCCAGCTCCCTCAAGTTTGAAGTGTACCTTTTCCGCACAACACACTTCAGCTGCTTGCACATATGTTCAATAGGCTTTAGAATAGGGCTCATCGACGGCCATTTCATAATAATCCAATAATTTCACATTCATTGTTTTTATTCTGTTAGAGGACATGCAGCTCGAATTACATTCTCTGCCGTTTGCGGCGGAATGCGTGAAGTCTTACCACTTCATTGTACCCAGCACAGAATAATGAAATGAGCTTCTTCCATGTGCCGCAGTGGGTACAGTGTTCCTTTTTTGGTAAAATTATTGGTAACCCGATGTTAAAAAAGGCAAAGAAAGCCACAATGGTGAGTGAAATACTTATGAGACTGGAATTGGCCAAAATGCAAATTGTCGAGCCAAATATCTTGAACGGATGAGACAGAACTGCAGCTTTTTGGGCAAGTCGCTTTAGCGCTGTGTTAACACGAAAAAAGGCCGTATAGAAAGAACACTGCACCTACGCTTGAATGTGGCGGTTTTGCAGTTCTGTTCTGGGGTGGCTTTTCTGCGTCTGGCACAGGGTCTCGTGAATCTGTGCAGTGTACAGTAAAATCGTAGTACTATAAAGGCATTCTGGAGCGAAAAAGCCTAGAGTCACAAAGCTTAGTCTCAGTCACAGGTCATGGTTCCTCTCCAACAGGGCAACCACCCAAAACACACGGATAGAAACAAAAAAAAAAACAGAATGGCTAAGAATTAAAAAAACAGATTCGTCATTTGCCTTCGATGATCCCTGATCTAAATCCGATTGAACATCCGTGGAGGGGACTGAAGCAAGCAGTCTGGAGAAATGTACCCTTCAAACTGGAAACAGTTGGACTTGTTTGCCCGCAAGAAGTCTCATTCCTGAAAATGTTTGATTGGAGTGAGCGCCACAAATGTTTGTGAAGAAAAAAAAAAAAAAGTCGAGGGTCCCGTCATAATTTTTTCCAGGACAGTTTCATTAGTTTGTGTTGAATAAGACAATGTCAAATAATTATGTTAGCCCACAAAAAGAGCAATGCAAGGTTTCCATTACTGGAGTACATTTTCAGCAATTTCAGCAGTCTTTAAAATATCTTATTTATGATTATGTTTGACAGTTTAAGCCAAGGCCTTTCTTTCTTTCGAGGAAGAACACACACAATTTTGTCCGTGTGTGTATGTGAAATGTGTTTGTAGTGGGCTTTTGACTTAGGGGACCCTGGAAGTGGTGGGTCATAAAAGTTTATATAAACGTAGACTAGAAGTAGTCAGGCACGCTCACTCATCTTGCTGCTGGACACCACAACAATGGAAATCATACACGTGAAATCTTGATGGCAAGCTTGGTGCAGGGATCCCAGCAGTGCAGAGCTCCAAGCTTGTTAATGTCTTTACCCGATATTAAGGACAGGGGTAAAAAAAATACGAGGATAAAGTGCAGTGTTGTTTGTGAAAAGAGAGACAGAAAGGAAACAGTGTCGCTCGAGAGGAAGAGAAATTGTAGTTGAAGGAAGGAAAATACATTCTACACGAGGTCATACATCTCATATGGCATGAGGGGTTAGACAAAGGTGCTCTGGGGGAACCCCCTCCATGACTAAGTTAAAGGCAGAAAAAGGAAGAGCCCCATTTGACCAAGTTCATCCACTTCCTCTTCCTCCACCTTTGACTCACCCTTTCAGTTGCTGAACACTTCGAAGAGTATTTTTAAAGTGAAGGCAGTTAGCCGTGGGGGTGAGAATATTAACAAAGCTATTCATTTTTAGGATGAAATGACTAGTTTATGAAACAAAATGTGTGTGATTTCCGCCCCTTTTGTGTTTTATCTTAGAGAGTTGCTTTGAACGAAGTAGACAGAGAAACTAAAACATCTTAACTTGACAAGAGCCTTCATCTGAGGTGGTTCTTAGGCTACTATTTATTCAATCAAGCACAATTTCCAATCACTGTGTTCGACACTCTTCTAACTCAGTGACAATTGCAATTTTGAGGGGTTGTTTTCTTCTACTTATTTATTTATGCGTAGACAAAGACAACTATATTCGTCAGTACTTTCATTTGAATTTACTTTCTCTTTGTCTTAGCTTACTTTTTAAAAACTGTTTTTATTTGTTTGTTTGTTTTTCCATTATTAATGAACAAGGACGACATGAAGTGGATTTATGGGTTAAATCAGGTCATTTATAGACATGTAAATGTATATCTTTAATTATCTCTGTCACTTTATATTATTTTTAAATTCATCCATCCATCCATCCATTTTCTGATCCACTTTATCCTCACAAGGGTCGCAAGGAGTTCTGGGGGCTTTCCCAGCTGTCTTCAGCCAGTAGGCAGGGGACACCCCTGAACTGATTACCAGTCAATCGCACATAGACAAACAACCATCCGCGTTCACACTCACCCCTAGGGACAATTTGTGTGTTCCATTAACCTGCCGCGCACGTTTTTGGAATGTGGGAGGAAACTGGAGTAAAACCCACGCAGGCACGGGGAGAACATGCAAACTCCACACAGGAAGGCCGGAGCCGGAATTGAACCCTGCACCTCTGCACTGTGAGATGACGGACTAAACGGTAAACCACCAGGTTGCCCTTATTCTTAAATATTTGATCAATTAATCTATTCACAATTTATAGACTTCCAAATAATTAAATCCATTAAGATAGTTATTGCAGAATATGCAAGTGTAGTGTACGTACATTGTAATCTTCAACACATTTGTAAACCAAAACAAAACCATGATTGTATATTTCAACATGTCTTGAATTTTTTTTTTTTACCTAATGTTACGATTAATCTCAGGTGGTGCTTTAGATGAATGCCCAATCAAGGAAATCCATGGTAAGTATTATTTTATATTTCTGCCTGATACACAAAGAGGAAAATGTTTTTGGTCAACATCAACAAACTGCATGTGCAAGTGTCACTCCCAGACAGACAGGGGTCAATTGACTAGGTTGAGGAAGCAGCAGGTGAAAATTAGCGAACAGGGTCAAATGTCACAAATCGTGGCATAAGACAGACTAAGCCGAAGAAAGTGGTCAAACATGCCATGGTAATGATTCATTCCTTAACTTGTGGCAAGCGCCAGTGAACCGGCTATGGAAACTTCAGCAAATGTAAATATGCTTTGGGTAAAAATATAATGGCCTAATGTACAACACATGTGGCTCAATGGCAAGTCCTGCTGTATTTTGATGGGGGGAATTGAAAGACGAAGGATTGTGAAGGGAGAGGAGAATGGCACATTTAAAAGAGATAGTAAGAGAGTGAGATTAGATATTTACTGGCAATGTGGTAATTATGTACTGGGCACTGCGACTCACCCTGGGCCTTCTCTACGAACACCACCTTTGAGTCAGGGAGGAAATTGAGACCACTCAGCACCATCATTTTGCCTCCATTTGCAGGGTAGCTGTCCACACTCTGCTTCTCCACCAAGGGAAGCTCCTGCGCTGAGCGCTGGGCTGTCGATGGAAAACAGGCAAATCTGGCATGAGGCAAAATATAAATTTGCACAGAGGCGGACTACGCAACTTTTGGTATTTTTCTAGACCCGAACAAGTGGGTGCAGCATGGCACATTTTAAAAAGGGCAATTTAGCTCCGTTGTGGGTGTGAACACAGCCGACTTGATTCACTGGCATTTAAAGCAGTTTATTTCATTCCCTTAAAATGCCGCTCGCATGACGTACGCTGATCGTCTTTGACATGACGGAAGAAGAAACTGATAGGCTCATGTCCTGCAGTGGGTCAAGGGGCGCAAAGTATGTTTGTAAGGAACTGCAAGCAGACCTCATCGGTCAGATGACGAAGTTGGCTGGATAGATCACAGATCTGTGAATTGGACATTTGGGGACCGTCTTTAACCTTGAACGTAAATCTGTGTATCGCCGCCACCCCACCTCTCACATTCCATGACTGTGCGACAGTGAGGGGGATGATTTTAAACATACAGTATGTAAGAGAGACACCATCTTCTAACTCGGACTTTACATGTCTGTGTGTGACCATAGGAAAAAAAAAATATATATATATAATAAATCTCAGCAATGATTTAAAGGGTTTAATCCACGCTGTTGTTATATTTATGAATGAAATGCAATGACATCCAGCAAACATGTTTGCAGAGCTCAGAATCAGGCTTCCTGTGCACCAATAAAATTCATCACTATTAAAACACCTGCACCAGAACTTTGACCTGGTTCCGGCAGGTATAAAGCTTAGTCTACTTGCAATCACCCAAATATCAGGTGTGCTCGGCGTACGTCAAAGTAAATGCCCTCATCACGCTGGAATGCCCTACATAGTGCAGAAATATGAACAGAATTCCCAAACAAACACATCAAGGCTTGTGTAGGCACAAAAATGAGGATACACTCGAGCGCAGCTGTACTGTCTACGAATATAGAGCCTTTGGTCTCATCAATATAATTTATATATTTAAATATTACTTATAAACCTTGATCATTCAATAACCCCCGACCAACCTTATAACCTTAGTCTACTCTTTTCAAATTGACAAATATCTCCTGAAAACTTGGACTTATTTGGTAACAATGGGTCCTATTGTTGTGCCCGGTACAATTCTAGCGCATATTGCAGTCTAACTCTACGCCTCGGTGAAGTTTTCTTTCTTTTCGTATTTTGCTAGACTTTGCATAGGTAGATTTGGGTGTAAAAGGGCGTTTGTGCCTTCATACGCTGTTGTGCGACATAAATAGTTTTTTTTCTAGCCAATCCTAGCGGCATCCCTCATTTGGATAAAAATGAGGGCATTAACAGAGCATCTTCGCAGTGGTCTTCACATGCACCAGAAATATAGACAAACATGAAAAAGCAGAAACGTCAGCATCGTCTTCCTCATCCAACAGAAATGAGTAGATTTATTTTGCCGCTCATTAAATACAAACTGAAATAAGCATTTCTGGTCTGGCCACTTTCAATTAGTGCTTAAAAATAAAAGCATCTATTTTTTAATCTCATCTCAACAGTCTTGGCGCAGTACGCCCGAGAACGCCATGCTTGAAATTGCGGAAACATAAATAGACTTGCTGGGGTCCGTGCATGACATCAGCAGGTAAACTGAAAGCTCTCCCCTTGTGGACGATCTAGTCGGCCATGCATGTGACATGAGAATCCCTTTCACCCTTGATCGAAAGTCTAACTATGACCCCACCCTCGCAATAGTTATGTGGGTGCTATTATAATAAATTTTTATAAGATAATTAGAATTAATGCAATGGATGGATTTCTGTGGTGATTCAGAGGGATGGACCCATGCTGGGGCCATATTTATGAATTAATTGGATGACTTCCACCACACACGTCTATGAAGCACCAAATCTGTCTGCCTGCACCTCGATCAAAAACATGAAAACCGTGTTACCTATGTACACAGTTACACTTGCTTTTTGCGAGTGTAAAATCTTGTCTACTTTTTGGAACCAAATTTGCAGATGTGCTGGGGGTGTGGCAGGAACGCTCAGTGAGGCGTAACGCGTCGAATAAACACAGTGAACTGGACCATTGCCCTGGCACGAAAATGACAATGCATCTGTCTGCTGAGTGCAGACTACTTTGTATGATCAAATTGTCGGATGAGTCAGGGGCGAGGCAACTGCATGTGCCGGATTGTCCGGAGTTTTCAAAGTATGGTTGCTAAAATAGAAAGAGTTAACCTAATGGGATTTGAGCCAATGCCCCACGAATAAGACAGAAAGGCCAGCTACCGTCATATGAAAAATAAAAGAGACCAATTTCATTGTTAGCTAATAGGAAAAAAAGGACATTAATCATCAAGACTAAATGGTAAATTATCTCAGAACTATAATTCTAAATCTTTCCATTCTCACTGTCTAAATTTAACTGTCTCCCCTGTATGCTAATAAAATAGCTTACGGTATATGGAGCATGACTGACAAAGGAAAGGAACTTTTCCTTGACACCGTGTCTCTCTCTCTCTCTCTCTCTCTCTCTCTCTCTCTCTCTCTCTCTCTCTCTATATATATATATATATACACATATATACCTGTATATACAGTATACATACATACCCACCCAACACACACACGTGTGTACATACATATATGTTCCTAATCATTTAATACAAATGGAGATAGATAACATATGTCTAGCATCGCGTATCTATTACCTTGGCAAATTGCTTTGATGATTGAAAACTTATTGGGAGCAGATGCTCTAGAAAATAGATGCTTCGTGTATTGGAACCATTCGATGCCACTTTTAAGTGAGTGCAAAGCCGAGCGAAAGGCTTGTCATTGCGTGTTTGAGAGAGACTTAGGGTAGTAATACTTACAACACTCGATGGGGTTAGAGGAAGCTTGTAAGGACACGGTCCTGCCATTGGGCTGGTTGATGTGGACTCGGAACACCAACCGTACTCGGGTGTTTTTACGTCCAATGTCTGTTTCCCCTTTGCGAAGCTCAATGTCTGAGTTGCGCAGCTTTAGGATGCCTGCACAATCAATTCTGGGGAAAATAAAAACCACATAATGGTATAATTCAGCAGCATTTAAAAGACAGCACTGCGGCGAAATTGTGGGCTTTTCATGTGTGTGTTTTTATGCTTCTTGCAACTAAGAAAATAACATATATTTGTCTGCTAAAAAAAAAAAAAAAGCTGAGATTTCCAACCTAAACTCTGAGCAGTAAAAAGTTTCCCCACTGAAGCAACAGTACTTAAGTCACCATTGGAAGTCAATTAGAGCATGACATTGTTAATCAAAGAAACATGTCAAATCTCAGTTTTAAGGCTCTCACGACAGTATATCCTTTACACTAAAGTAGGCCTAACACTTCTTACTTACTACTTACTCGCCTCAACAACATAGCAAATTGTTACTTTATGCAATATACTGCATGTACAGCATATACTTACTTATGTCATGTTAATAAAAATGCATCACGTTCTTAGTAACATATGCCAGGCCTCATTTTAATTCATGTTGTATGGCTCACATATGTCACTCTGTGCCGGAATATTTGGCAGCTGTTTTTCTCATGAGATGTCAACACCGTGTACTTATTTCACCAAGGAAAGAGTATACCTCTTGAGTAAAAATAAATATGTATCTGAACTTTTGTGCTCTACTTAGACATATGTACAGCGTCTCTCATCTGAAATTCTGCTTTTGGAGCTAAAGCAATTTTCAAGATGGTGTAGAGCAGTGGTCCCCAACCTTTTTTGCCCCACGGACCGGTTTAAGTCAGACAATATTTTCAGGGACCGGCATTTAAGGTGTGGCGGATTAATACAACAAAATAATATGGTATGAGCTGCATGAAAACTGTGGTGTTTTCGAAATATAACAATAAACACAAGGAGCGTCTAATCTGGTCGCAACACTCTTATCGCTATGGTAATGTTTAATGCCTTCAAAATACGACACAACGCAAATTCAAAGTGCACGAAAATGATGACTCACCACAACCCCGAGCTTGATTTTCTGCAATCAGACAGTCCCATCTCGGGGTAATAGGAGACAATGACGCCTCAAGTGTGTGGTTTATGTCCAGTCTACTTCGTAATTTTGTTTTAGTCGCCGTTGCTGCAGAAACTCCCCACCTCACACAGGCAGGATGTCGGAAATAGCAACAGTGCTATTGTGGCGATCTCAGAGTATTCAGCCAGAACTTTAATCCAGTTGTCTCAAACGTACTTTTAAGGCCGCCGTCATTTGCGATCTCCAACCAGCTTTTTTACTCATTTTGCGGGCTTCAGCGTTGACGTGAGTCAATCGTGACACAGACGGATGTAACGGAGAATCCGGTAATTTTTCAAAATAAAACATCTTTCGTTTTCCGAAATAAATAAAACGGAAATAAGGCAAGTTCTTTCTGTGCGGCCCGGTACCAAATGCCCTGCGGACCGGTACCGGTCCGCGGACCGGCAGTTGGGAACCCCTGGTGTAGAGAACTGTGATTTGTTTGTTTATTCCAAAATTGGGATTACCCGTCATAATGTGGAAAGTGAAATATTTGATAGTGGACTTGTGAACTTCTAAGATAACTTACATAGCCCTCATGTTGTTTTCGGGAAGCAGAGGGATCTCCAGAATTTTGGTGTTGGATTGCAGAACTTCATGACTGGCAGTGGAGACGGTTTTGCCAGTGATGCGATGGACCTGGTAGAAGGCATGTGGTCGTAGGAGGCGGTCGTCTGCAGTCCCTATAAACAGCTGCAGGGTGAGCGGCTCACTTTCCATGTAGCCATAAAGCTGCCGGGACAACAAAGGAGTCGGGTAAGAGCCAACACCAGGTTTTAAGACCTCCTATTAAGCAATTTCTCATTTAGGCGTGTGTGTGCGTGTGTGTGTGCGTGCGTGCGTGCGTGCGTGCGTGCGTGCGTGCGTGCGTGCGTGCGTGCGCGCGCGTGCGTGCGTGTGTGTGTGTGTTCACACGCGTGCCCACATATATCCAGAGATATACAGCATCGAGCTTGTTGAGCAGTTTGAAAAGTAATGTTGACTTTTTGGTCAATGGCAGATAACTCGCTGCAGCCACTTTAATTTCAGCACCAAGGATCATTTTCTGGCTGCTTAAGGTAACACAATTATATAATTTAGCCAAGTGTATAATGGCACAGAAATCTGAACAGATATGCTGGGCTGCAAATTCTAGAAGACAACTGATACTTTATGAGGGATTTCTGACCAGACCAAAATCTGGATTTGTGCTGGAATCCAGCTGTCTTCTGCAGACCTCCCAGGTTATGCTCAGTCTTTACACTTCAGTGTTTATGCAGTGTTATAAGCAGATGTTGGGGGCTTGCGGGGAGACAAACAATATATGTTGACTTAAGATTTCAGAAAAGTCTATTTGATACATCAAAGATCTATTCAGTTGACTACTTGACTGTATGGATTCGACTGTGAATGATCATATCGTCAAAACCAAGGCTCAGCAAGCCATGGCCATCTGACAAAATCGCACTAATTGGTCAATTACCCCAGCAAACACCGGCACATCACCTCAGACCAATTTTCTTTGAGCTCAGTACGAGTGAAAACAGCAGTACTGTCGAAAGGAATAAAAGACCCCGGCTGTTTTTCTAATGGAATGAGTCACCGAACAAAATAAATACCACATGTAACCTGTGACATGAGCAGATTAATGTGTTTATAATTAGTTTTGAAAGCGCATGGATAAGGTCTGAGGATAAGGAAAGCGGGCAGAGGACCAAAGAGGTACAGTATGTCACTTGACATTTGTGGAAATTAGTGCTGCATTGGCAAACTACTGTATGTTTTTGCAAATGAGAGCACAGGCTTGAAGTTTCTTTTTTATCCAGACAAAACATTGGTATTTTCGAAAAGAAGATGAGATGTATGCCATTGCGCTACATATGAGCTCATGCATTCAGGGCCTTCACTTTAGTAGCAATCACACACTTTCAAATTTGAATTCACATATCTAACATAGATTCCTGACTAGACTGCTAGCTTGTTTTAAATTTAAAAAAAATCTACCTAAATAAAATAAATATCAACAATAGTCAATTTGAGGTTGACTGGATTTGGTCTGTAATTTAGAATCATAAACTACCGGTAAATTTGTGTGGACTGTGACAAGGCAGATCTAAAGGCTTTTTTTTTTTAATCCACAATTATGATTTATATGTTGAAAAAGTGTCGTTGATGAATTATTCAACAGGTTAAAAAGTAGCTCTACCGGTAAACCAGATTTTTGTTTGTTTCAATTCTGAAGGAGATGAAAAGGCACAAGCAAAATAAAGAGTCTAAAGAGTCCTATTTCTACTGTAGTTTTTCTCCCCACCCTGCACTGAGGGTCTCTCGCAGCTGTCTCAACCTGTGAGCAAGTCACACATGAAAGTCATCAGTGAGTTAGGCGGAGGTCAGAAGCTTCTTGAAGTCTTGCCATCCCAAGGGACCAATTCATTTATGAGGTGATCTCACCACCAGACCATTTTTTTGGCTTGTTTTATTTTACTCACGGTGCCACGAGTAGAAATTATCCATGCTACTAGTTACTTATATTGACTCTTGAGAGCACAATGGCTGATGTTACAAATCTGGTGGATGACAGCATTGACTTTAAGGATTTAATATAATCCAGGCAATCATGGCACAAAGCTATTTTTTAATATTTTGGTGACCTCCAACCATTACCTCAGCTGCCACGTGGCTATATGGAGAAAAGCAGTACGGGGGGACAGGGTATTAAGTTGGAGGGTGGTTCTTTATCCCCTCACTCATCTTGTGGTAGCACACAAAGATGGTGGTGTCCCCCATTGAATCCTCGTGCGCTCATTGAGTAGAGGAAATGATTCATGAGCTCAGGTAGTCCTTTCTTGTGACACCAGACCTCTCACCGGCACCCCTCAATCCGACTTCGAACTATCTCTTTAACATATGTGCTCCTCTGACCCTCTCCCCATGCTACCAAGCTGTCCCTTCTTGCCACACCTCAGTGATACTCATTCAAACACTGGAGTAGAGTGCACAACTTCCTCATGTTGCAGAATTCCCAAGGGTGGTACTTTTAACTTTGAGTGTGGTCGATCATCGTGGCTTCCCTGAAAAAATGTGAAGGTTGACCAGACGAGTGCTGCAATTTCTTTCTTTTTTATATGTCTCTTATACTTCATATTTGTCGAAGAAATCTGAACGGAGGCTTGATTTGAAGATTTCCCAACCTCTGCCTCTGTGTCAGCTATAGCAAAAACCCGCACTGCAAGTGAGTTTGGCTGAGCAATTTGTCAACTGGAAACATTGTGGAAAGGGCAGGTGATGCATTAATTGTGTAATTGGATGCAGCTGTATTGTCTGGATCGGTTGTGATGATGTGGAGGGGTGTCAAGCTGAAAGGGGAGAAGAAGGTACACCCCTAGTGACTTCCCATTTTTCATCCCTTTGTGAACCACTGCCGAGCTCTTATACCTTTTGAAAATTCATCAGAAAAAGGACTATAAATTTTTGGTGTCAATTGTTCAATATTTGTGTAGCTTTAAAATTACTGTCTGGAGAATGACACGCGTCCAGCCTTATTGACTGTGAAAACACTATGCAGGCCTGCAGAGGCGGACTTCTTTTCCTGATTTCATCACTGCCTGGAGAACAGTCATGACTTGAAGAAGTACACGTGGCGCAGAGATTTGGGAAAGAGAAAAGAAGATCAGTAGCAGCAGCAAAACACCCCTCCTTTGGCAGGGGAAGGGGAGGAGAAACAGAAGAGTGGATTCAGACCTTTCGACAATATCACATCTGCCTTTCTGCCAGATGCTGACAGTCAAGCAACAAGCATTTGCTGAATGTAGTTTAATCTATGCACATCACAACTCTCCTTTCTCTCTAAAATTACTCCGCCATCGCAATTCTCTTCTTATTAACGACTTGATTCACGCTATATGTGATCCTTAAATGTGGTGTTATGCTGAAAATTGCTTGCAATATTATAACAAAGGTTATTGTATTTACAACATTTTCCTGTTCAGGCCTGTACGACAGCTAAAACTGCTTTGGGGCAAAAGGAAAACACCAGTAAAATTATGAATTTACAAAGAATTGCGCTTATTGCAAAATCATGAATATGTGAACGACTACATTTCAGTAGCCATTGAGGTTGGGTTTGTGTTCGATGTTAAAAAGGGTGTAACTTCATTTTTTGCGTCAGCACAAGTCTTGTCTACGAAGTCGAACTGTGTTGCGCCTCTATGGGCACATGGAGTTGCCTCGCCCCCGATTCATCCAACAATTTGATCACAGATAGTAGTCTGTGCTTGCGATAAGAAGGGGTGCATTGTCATTCTTGTGCTGGGAGTCTAGTTCAGTGTGTTTGTGAATTTGGGTGTTACTTCTGCACCCCGATACATCTCATCATAAATTTGGTTAAAAAAAAAAAAGTACCGGTAAACAAAAATTTTCCCTAACTAAAGGAGCGTCGATTGTGGGTAGTTGTGTAACCCTATTTTAGTGTATTTGATCGATGCACAAGCAGACAAATTTGGCACTCCACGGACGTGTGTGGTCTATGTCAGCGGATTTCATTCATAAATATGACCTCAGTTTGGGAAAATCCCAATAAATTGTTTCTAGAAATCATTTCATTGAACAATTTTTAAAAATCATTTTCATCTTAAAAACATTTTTAAAGCATGCCTGTCACGATTAGGGGGTGGGGGATGTCACACACGGATGCACAGTAGTGCAGGTGCAAGGCGGTCTCCAACTGCCTACATCACATGCATCATCCTCAAAGGGGGATCTTGCAGTTTACCTGCCAATGTCATTGCCACTGGGAATGAAAATAGGACCCCAACAGTTCCGATTTTATTTCCAGGCACAATGAACCTCCTTCTTTGCTGGGGATTTTTTTCAAGGTGATCTGGGATGAGCTAGAGCCTATCCCAGCTGTCTTTGAGTGAAAGGTGGTGTACGCACTGGACCGGTCGGCAGCTATTCATTCAGCACATTTCAACAAACAACCATTCACATTTATAGACCTACTGTATGGAGAATTTAGTCTTTCATGAACCTAATACATGTGTTTTAGGAATGAGGGAGGAAGTACCTGGAGAAAATCCATGCAGGCACAGGATTCGCACCATGTCATGTATCGCCATATAGTCCAAATATAACTTTTGAGCGATATTACACAGCCCAAATGGTTACCGTAATTAAGATTTTATTTCTTCATTTCACAGTGGAATAAATACCACTTTTGATATTAAATGACAACGGTGACTTAGCACTCCAACAACACTATGGCATTGAACCAAAGCCTTGCTAAAATCAAACAAATGGCGGCATTATATCTAAAAAAAAATAAAAAATAAAAAAAATCACCCATTGTTTATTGTGTTGAGTATTTCTTTGGGACATTACACAGAAAGTGACTAACGGATCCAAAGTGGGATTGCATGTGCAGAGGACCTAACACATGTTTGCCTGAGCCCTTTCATGTAGCAGTGGTGGAAAACATCCTGCAAATGTGATGTGTATTACATATATGTTCAGAGGAAGGGAGATGGGTATCAAGTCATGTACATGTTAATAGGGATGATGGCCACATCCTGTTGAAATTACACCATGTCTGTTGCTGCTTTAGACTAAATGAGAGAGTGAGTGAGGTTGTGTGTACTTGTGACTGAGGAAGGTAGAAAGCCCTATAGGCCTGTCATTATCCTGTACGACCCAGCCATATGCAGGATTGTCCTCTATGTTAGGGTTAATACTCCACAGGTGTTATTGTCTTTTGTTACTAAGGGACTGTTCAATGTCTGTGTATTTCCTGATGGAATATGAGCCTGAAATCTGTTGCTTCATCTTCATCAGAACCCGCATTTTAAATCAGAGTTGCTTCGCAATGAAAACAATTCGTATTGCATTAGTTCCCCCCCCATTGTTTCCCTCTGGACAAAAATACATCATTCAATGTCAGAGAGATATAGGTACACCAGGTTGTTGGTTTACCAAATCACAGCTTTGAAAATCATTTTGTGGACCTTTGGCATATTTGTGGTAGAAGAACGGATCGGTTGGAAAACTATGACAGGAGCCAATAGATTACTGTAGACCCTCTCAATGCCGCAATGGTCGGCTGCTGTAAATAAAGTGAAAAAGCAGCCGTGGGTGTAAAAAAAAAAAAACTCCCAATCATGAGGTTATGAATATCAAATTGGAGTCAGAAGGACGGAGTGCGAGTACAGAATAAATTTCAACATTTCGGAATGGTAATGCAATTGAGTTGCGTTGAGACCCAGAAAAAGCAGCAATTGGGCAGCAAGTTATACCATATAGTTCAAAGGATCATTTCAGTCACCCCGCTCAACCGTACCACCATAAATATGTGTTCAACATGCACTCACAAAAATTTGTCTGAAATTACATCCAAAAACTTTGAATGTGAACTAGACTGTGTAAAACTCGTGATGAAGCTCTCTCTCTCTCTCTCTCTCTCTCTCTCTCTCTCTCTCTCTCTCTCTCTCTCTCTCTCCCTCTCTCTCTCTCACCCCCCCCCCAAAAATAAGTGTGAATCCTCCACATGCTTCCCTGCATGTTGCCTTAGTGTCTACTTGAGTGTCAGCCCTTATTGCAATTTCGAGCACAGCAAAACATGCCTGCTTGGTTTGGGACGTGTCACCAACAACAACAGTGCAGCATTTCCACTTGAATGTATTTCACTGTCTCATGGGCACTGTACAAACACTATACCACGATGATTTTTTTTTCTTTTTTTAAATCTAGCTGCTTTTTCACCTGTCACTGATTTCCAACACACGCCACCACTCACAATGTGTGTGAGTGTGTACCCATGAGCTTGACTGAGCTTCAGTGCAGGGTGTCCCGCTTGTGTAGGTTTGGGAAATGATTGGAGGATGAGCAGTGCAAAAGGAGTGACATTCTCAACTCCCTCTGAGAGGGGGGCAGCCCGAAGTAACTCTTTACCACAAACATCCCCCCTGCCTCTACGACTACCACCATGCTCAGTTAACCTCAGCGCCACCGAGGCCCTAATCAGCAGGATACAGAGCATCTCCAGAGGCAGCCGAACCGAGGCCCAGCTGCGCTGATTCCCTCTGCTCCATCTCATTCTTTCTACTGGGTCTTTTGCACACACACTTCCTTGGCTGCTTCCTCCACCCGTGCCCCTGTGTCATTATTGACTTATTCTCCTTGACTGCACCTCACCCATCCACCGCCTGCCACTCATGGGCACTGGGGAATATGACATGTCATACCTTTCATGACTACAACAACACAACTCAATTCACATTAAATAAAACCGGAAAAATGAAAAATAAGACATTGTACCTCTCATGTCTCTCTGAATATACTCTCTCTATAATCAGAGCTTCTCGCTCATGTGTGGGTAATGAATTTTCCAAGGGGTCACATGAGATACTGGAGTGCTTGTATTGGGCAAATAGTAATTTTACTATTGTGTGAAATAGTAATTTAGTGAATTTATATAAAGCAATGGGGTGGTTGACTGGTTAGCACATCCCCTTCACAGTGTAGAGGTGCAGGGTTCGATTCCCGCTCTGCGGCCTTGCTGTGTGCAGTTTGCACGTTCTCCCCGTGCCTGTGTGGGCTTTCTCTGGGTCCTCCGGTTTGCTCCCACATTCCAAAACCATGCATGACTGGTTAATGGAACACTCTAAATAAAAAAAAAATAATTAAAAAGGCAACCACTTCGCTTTTGTGATTTGTGTTTGCTCATCTTTTTCTGAATAAATAGCCATTTTAAACCTTTGAATCCATCCATCCATTATCCGTACCGCTTAATCCAGTCTTGGCTCATACCCCTTTTTAACTGCAGTGTAAAGAAATGAAAGACAAAGTGTTGTTTCTTACTGACCACCTTATGATAACCAAAATGCCCACAGGGTATGATGAGAATGAGAGAAGCTCTGTGCTCTGCTGTTGGCGATACTAATGTGCTCCATAAGTGTTTGCCAAGCACAACGGTGATGGTCCTGATCTATGCTAATTGAGTCAGTATGAACATTTTCAGCAATAAATTGAAACTTACTGAAATTGAATTCAAGCACAATACAATATTGTAGCTGACTTTGCAAAACTTCAGATTTCCTCAACAGTGCATAGTGGAAAAGTGACTCTGCAAAATTTACGTGCAATTAATGGCCATGATAAATGCATGTAAATATTGTGTGTGTGTGTGTGTGTGTGTGTGTGTGTGTGTGTGTGTGTGTGTGTGTGTGTGTGTGTGTGTGTGTGTGTGTGAGTCCAAAAAAGTGTATTCCACAAAACAAAACAAAACAAAAAAACGGGTTGGCTCTCCCCCAAATATTTAAAAATACAGAAAATACTGAAAAAAATCCAAAATTATATCCATCTGCAAATGATGAACAAGTATGCAAGGATCCACTGTGTATAGAAATTGCCACCCTAGTAACCTCACTAAAATCAAGGAATTGCAAATTGCACGAATTAATATTAGTATTTAAAAGAATGAATCCAATACAATATTATTAAAATATAATTATTCCAAACATGCACAACATAATTGTACAATAATAATCATAATAATTATTATTTTTTAAATTATTATTATTACTACTATCATTATTTTTAAATCTGTCTCTGCATCTAGTCTGCGATAGTTAGCTTTCACTTTCTGATCAGTATTACCGCATTAGTGGACATTTGTAATTATTGGTCATTTTGTGGACAGTACTTTGTACCTGTGTTCAGATATTTGAAATGTGCTTTTGTTTCGGTTATTTTTGTTGTTGTTGTTTTCCTTTTGCAGTAGATGGAGACCTAATACCTGTGACTCATTCTGGCTGTTCTGGCACTGCTTGGCCAGTGAATATGATTCAAATTGTGATTTCAATCTTCCGTGTGGAGCAGAATGTGGCAACATCACTTAGAGTCGCTTCCAATAGAGAAACCCTATTATTTGTTGTTCCCTGTTATTTTCTGTCTTATTTTAATGTAGCTGTAATGACAAGCACACATATGTTGTCTTTGGTTACTGTGATGATCACAGCCATTGTTGCATTCATCCAATCAGACACTCTGACCTGATAATCTATTTGTCATGTGTGTTGCGGCCACCAAAATGGGCCCACCCCAAAAACAGATTTAAATTCCATATCAAAGAGAACATTGTCACATGACTGAATCACAATAGCCAATCGTTACGTATCCAAGCTTGCTTTTGGACAAAAAAAAGTGATCAGTTTGTCCCTGCGAATGCAGCCATTTTGTAGCATGACATTCAGAGCAGAACCAGTTAACCTGTCAGAATGCAGTGTAGTCAGCATACCTGGACAACTGGGTGGCCTCCAGAAAGTGCCTTGACTGCCCCACGGCTGCCTTCAGTCTCATAGTGGGCCCTGTGGTGGGACTTTGGCTGTAACTCGATCTGTAAACTGTATGGACCGGAGCTGGATGGAAGCTGCCAGTCGAGCGCTGGCAGGGATGGGCTGCAATAAAATTGCACGTTATAGATTAATATTGACGTAACTTCTTCAACAGTCTCAATGCAAAATGATTTAAGAATATCCAACATTGGGAGAGTGGTGAAAACATTGCTGCTCGGTGTTCACATTTCCAGTCTGCTTTGAACACAGATGTGACACATGGAGGTCTTTACATTTGTCTTTTCGTTACCCTCTATTAGATTCAGTGAAACTGTTTGAGGTTTGATATTTTTCCACAGGCCCCAGTTCTGTCAAAGACGTCTAAGTCAAAACTTTTTGACCTTGCTTTAAATTGGCCTTAATTTTGGACACTTTGTGTAATTCAAACTGTCTTAATCCTTCTCCATTTCATCATGGTCTGTAATCTAATCATGCGTATTCCCCTGAGCCTGGGTAATGATGTCTCTTTTTTTATTATTATTATTAATGAAAAAAGAGAGACCAATCTGCTTTGGCTACAGGTTCAGTGTGTTAATACGATACTGTCACAAGTGGGGACAAGCACAGCGTGCTTGCGAGGTGGGAGGGATGATATTTCTGGGCTACAAAAACATATCTCAGACATACACTCTGTCACTCAGTCCCATTGATTCAGTGTTGATTGATTGAAATTTGATAACAAAGAAATATAAATTCACACTCAACTACCAGACAGTTGAGTAAGACAGTGGGAATGCATCGGCATCACACTCTGCATTGTACAATGATATTTGCCTCTTGAAGCTTCAGTTTGCCTCCCACAACATCATTGTTCTCTCCTTGAAGAGTAAAACGCTTCCCATGTGATCCGCGTTGCGATATCTTAACCAAAACAAACACGAAGAAGAAGACAATGGTAAATGCAAAATCCCTGACCCGAAGGGTGGCTCAACTGAAACCAATCTCTGGCGTATTTGTGGGACTTACGTGCTGTTTGTTGACCCAAAACGAACTGATTTCCCACCACAAGACTTTATCTGTCCGGTTGGAGAATGACATCACCTCAGCTACAAAATGAGATGGTCTGATGGCGCGACAGACCACAGTAGAGAGACGGCTGATTAACCCACAGACTGTTTCCACTTCAGCCGGGCCTGTCACTGTTACTTCCTGTTGCTCGCTATCTTAATCAAACACTTTATTTCCGGCAGGAAGGTGTGCTATTGGCATGGAAAACGATGTCTTGGGGAACAAAATTTCAATTTCTGAAACATGAACCTTTCTGAAAAGAAGTATTTGGAGCCATCATCATGCATGCTGTACTGTAGGCTACTCTGCTTTTTCATATTCGAAAGGGTAAATATTGTATCTCAAAATAAATTTTGGTGGTGTTCCTCTGTGATTTAAAAATGTTAAACGAAAAAAAATACAGGTACAACTTAAAACCATCCAATTTTTTTCAAGCCAACTCTATTCGTCTGTGAATGTTTTGATATTCAGAGCTATTGGGGTTTAACTGACTTTGACTTCTGACCATAAGAGTTCCGAGATACCCACCTGAGGTACTGCTTGGGTTTAGACCAAGGGTAGGGATGCTGGGGCACCTCCAGGAACCCCCCGCAGTAGTTCTCCTTCTTTAAAACAAGGCGAGAAGGGTAGTCCTCGGGGCTAATCTCTCCTTCATGACTGACCTCTTCTCCACTAGGTTCCACCTTGAGGCTCATGGAAGGTGAATGATCTACCATCTTGCGTGTCTTGACCGGGATCCCTTCTCCCATGTCTACCACTCCATCTGTGGTCAGAGCATTGATAGCAGCCACAATTGCGGAGTTAGTGTACTGGTTGGCATTGGCAAGCCAGTTCTCATCTGTGACACTGACTCTGGGGGACCCATGTGGGGAGGGGGTAGCGGATTGGTGGGGTGAACAGGATGTCTGCTGGTAGGGAGTGTCGTTGAAGCTGTACTTTCTCTTCCCCACACAGGCAATGCTGATGTTGTTGCATCCACCACCTCCACTGAGGGAAGGAGAGTTAGGCCTGGAGTCACGCGGCTGAGCTGGCCAGCCTTCCTCAGCCACTGCTCCAATCTGAGGGGATGTGGAGGGTGAAATGTTCGGGGAGGCTGCAGGACCGCTGGCATGCGGGCAGGACAAAAGTGAAGATGACCCTCTGGGAGACACGCAGGGAGACTGCCAGGGGGAATTCTGTAGGGAGTTGTCATAGTTGTAAAAGCCAGACTCATAGGAGGATGCTTCAGAGTTACAGCTGCGAGAAGAAATGCTGCTTGCGGGACTGAGGCAGTTGGGATCACGGTAGCCATCGGCATTGGGCAGTGTTAGTGTCACGATGGAGTTTACGCCTCTTTTGATGATGTGGTCATCACAGTTTCTTTCTTCGACCTGATCCTCTGGGCACTGGGTGTAGGCGGTGATTTCAATACGAGGGCTTTCCGGGGCTGGAGCCCCATTGGGTCTCAGGCCATGGGGTAGGTAATAACCTGCCGCTACATGGTTGTCATTTTGGAAGTTGTAGCCTGTCTGATGGCAGGACGTCACAGAGATAACTGGGCTGGACTGTAAGTTGTGGTACTGGGTAGCCAGACAAGGGTTGCCCATCCCGAGTGGAAGAGAAAGGGTGACATTTGGTGTGTAGCTGAATGCATCTGAAAATAAACAAGCACATTTTCAACCTATAGGATCATGTGTGCCCAATGGATTAAGGTACCCAGAGTCATTATGCTTCGGAAATAATTAACAGTGATTCCATGTGCAAACAATACCCCTATACAAATCTCACCAGCGACATACTGACTCCTTTCTTTATTCTAGGAACATCTGGAGAAGCTTAGCAATCATTTCAAAGCAGTTACTGTATATTTGGTTCATCCGTAGTCCCGAGTTGCACAGCCAGCCTGTTTGCTGGATAAGTTCATCTAAGACTCTGTTTGGCACTCCTTGCTGTCAAATGTACACTACAGGAATCCACCCAGCAGCAGAGTGATGGATGCTTTATTTGATTGATTGCATCACTCACTGAGTGAATTAGGCCCTCCCCTGTGGAAATCTGACAGCACTCTTGCTTCGCTCTGAGCTTGTGATTAAGTCAAAGAGAGGCCGTTGCAGCAAAACACACTCATACTCTGAGGTGCACGCACAAGAGGAGCATGCAACATAAACAACAACAGACCCTGAATCCTTGTAGGTTTGCCTCCTCTGCCAACCAGCTGCTATTGTATCAACAGTTGTAAACTTCATGGCTGTCTTTTATTAACACTGTCAATGAGGGTGAATGCTCTAAGAGTATACACCGTTCAGTCAGTATGCCACTCAGGGGCATTCCCCTTTGTTATTTGTTCACCGCAATGCTGTGCTTTATATGAGACCTGTCACACACCGCATCCTTTACGGATTGGTCATCAAAAAAAAAAAAAAAGTTTGCGGGAGTCTGTTTCAGAGTTGATAATGTGCTCTGCATTGCACGAGCTCACTATTGCCACAATTGCGTGAAGTCATAGCATAGTCTGCAGTACATCGAATACTTTCAGTTGTTCATACGAAAATGTCCATGCTTTCTCGGATAAAGCAGCGAGAAGGATGACACTTACCTTTGACTTCAAAATGTGCAAATACCGTACACTATAATCTGTTCCGTGTTGACTTATTGTCATTGTAAATACAATTATTGGAATTATTGCAAAATCCACACTTTTGTGACATTGCATAAAGAAAGAAATGCATTTTCATGACTCACCTCTCCGATGCTGATAAACACACTGGCTGCGCTCAAACATACAACTAAAATCAAATTCTTGCTCTTCTTGCTCAAAACTCATCTCTACTTCCCTAAAAGCGTGTCCCAGCTTAATCTCCTCTGATGCTTTTCTTGACTGGTTTATGCTCTTCTCGAGCCCAACAGATGACATACTGTGCCTGCCCGCTCCACCCAGTGTGACACACCTCCTTACTTCAAGCCTGACTTACTTTATTAAGAATTGCAGCCGTTATTATTTTTTTATCCTGCTCTTCTTGTGCACATCAGCTGCATTTGTCACACAGTACTTCACCTCGTGGGGATTTTCGCTAATCCTATTTTATTTGATTATGTATTATATGTTGTATTATTTTATGTATTATTATGTATCATCTTCCAGATTAACAAAAATAAATCAGAATTTGGTAATTTAAAGTCGCACCGCAGGGCCCACTATGTGTCTGCCACACATTCAAATTTCACCCCCTCATCCCCCTCCCCACTCTCCAAAAAAAAAAAAGACACATAATGTAACCTTATTCGTATATATCTTCCCTCAGCAAATGTTACCAATTATGCCATTGGTTTTAAAGTACTCTTAGCACAACCAAGCGCGCATGCCTAAAGAATGAATGTATTTATCCACAGGGATTGTGGTCTACAGTGGGATGAGACTGACGGGACCTCAGGGACAGATAGGTGGTTGCCCACAGAAGCCATCTGTATCTTCTGGAGCTAAGAGTCCTTGGGCCCACATTCATGAGACAGGCTGAGTGCAGTCTATGGCAAGACCCCAGTAGGATGTGTGTTTTGAGCTCTGTGTGTCAGACGTGTGAAGTTGTGTGATAATAAAGCAGGCTTTGGCAAACTGCTGAGGCTGAGTGGTTAAACATGACACCCTGCCAAGCAAGCTACTCGGCATCCCTAAACGGACACATCACAATTCTATGCCTCTCTCTCTCTCTCTCTCTCACACACACACACACACACACACACACACACACACACACACACACACACACACACACACACACACACACAAAGAAGAAAAAAACATCTGTTACCAATTATAAGACTCTTGGCCAAAATGAATAATAATAAAAACCGCTCCCGTTCATCTGAAATATCAAAGACGGAATGAAATCCCAAATCCACAAAGCCAGTGACATCAGCACTGGAAACCACACAAGGCAGACTATCAACGACTTTTGGTGCAGCCAGTGAAATTTTGCTATATTAATCATGAATAAAAGAGGCATTTTAAAACCAGACTGAAGGATTACACAAGCAGAAGCAAAGCCCGAAGTTTGTCAACACTTGATGATCCCTGACCTCAAACCTCCCTGTGCAAATAGTCATATTCCTGTTTACTTTTATTTGGATAATTTGAGATCCTGTGAGGCTAAATTCAATGAAGCCTGCTAAAAAATAAAAAATAAAAAAAAATATTACAGCGATCTGTTAAACACCTGCTTGAGACACCTAATGGGGAAGATGATGCCAATGCCACTTAATACATTTCACTGAATTCCATGTTTAACTTGAGTGAGTGAGCATGTCATTCCAAATTCACGTTCTATTTAACATTCACACAACACGCAGCACGATAAAGACTTATTAATGGTGGAGGCTTGATCCCACTGTGTATTCATTTGCTTGTCACTCAGACATTTTGACAAATTATATTGCAGAGATAATTTCACTATCGATAAGAATGCCATTAACATACTGCAAGATGAGATATTGAGGCAGGTGTTACCTTCTTCTGCAGATTTCATCGCGGCGAGAAAGGTGATGGAACGAGTGGAGTCCCCACTCCTTGCTGTCTGGAGCTTCAAAACTGAACTTAGAAGAGACGCTCTAGCTGAGTATCCTGCATGCAACCAGCGGGAGAGTCTGCATGAGCAACGAAGAATTTAAAAAATAAATAAATCAAAAATAGTGCACGATAGATAACAAACTCACGGGTAAAATTCTAATTTGGAGTGAAGTTAAGCAATGGGTTATTAACGTGGTGAGTATTGCACACCGTGTGAGCGCTGGCCGAGTCAATGAGGAGGTGAGCGCTGCTCAAGAAACTAGCGGCTGAGGTGAATTATTCTGTCGTGTGCCCATTGAAGGTCTCCAAGAGTCTCCCCAGGTCGATGACGCAGCGCGGCTTTGTCAAAGGGGCAGTCTCTGGTTCTTTTAAAGCCGGAAAACACCCTCCGTTCTCCGTCAGCGCGCCGCCCATCCATGACGCCAGCTACCGGGCTCCTGCAAGCTCCTGGTCGAAGCGATGATGCTTTCCACCTTAAGATCCCAAAGGCGCGAATGCGCGCGCGCACAGTGTGTGTGTGTGTGTGTGTGTGTGTGTGTGTGTGTGTGTGTGTGTGTGTGTGTGTGTGTGTGTGTGTGTGTGTGTGTGTGTGTGTGTGTGTGTGCGAGCGCGCACCCGCGCTTGCATGAACTTTAATTTGCTCAGACATGCGCGCGCGGTATTTGTATTCGCACACTTTAAAACAGTGGTTCTTAAACTGGGTTCGTTCAAACCCCAGGGGTTCGGTGAATCAGTCTCAGGGGTTCGACAGAGCCTCTGCCATGGAGGGTAAGACACACCCGACTCAACATGTCAATTACTTATGACATGCCCGCTTGGCCATCACTGGCTGGTTCATTTTGTGCACAATTAAAAAGACGTATACTTTTAACTTCTGAATTTGTAGAAAAAAAAATCCTATTTTTATTTTTCACGAATAAAGGGTTTATTGCGATTGCTGTGTTGCTTCTATATTCCACAGAGAATAACTGCCCATTTGCATTTATTTTCCTCACATACTAACGTAAATGATGAAGGAATAGGTTTTCTTTAAAAACAACACTAACATAAAAAAGAGGTACAAAAACAAGAACTAAAAACAAACGTGATTTTTTTTTACTGTGAATTGGAAGAAAATACAAATGTTTTTTTTTTGTTTGTTTTTTTATGCAGTCCAACAAATAATTGCAAAAAAGAAAGCAGTGAGGAAAGCAGTGTTCTTGTCCTTTGCTTGGGAAAAATCTTCCTGATGTGATGCTCTGTTACGTTCATGTTCAATTAGTGTACTTTTTTAAATAAATACACCATTGTCTGCATTCACGCAAAAATGCATAAATAAACAATACATAAACGGCATGCTATTACCACACAACTGACTCAAAGGACTTTTATACTGAATTATACATGAATAAAATAATGTGTGGATCCACATCTGCAGCAGATAGGTAATGTATTTTTCTGTGGCTCATGCAAGATGTGCTCATCAGATGTTCAGCTATAAACTGTAGTTAGTACAGAAAGCATCCATAGCCCTTTTAATGGTTCAATCTGTCATATTGAAGACATTTGCTATCATCAGTTCAGTTCCCTCCCCCCACGTAAAAATACACCTAGCACCCCATATTGATATCTGAAAAAAATAATTGTAGAACTTTTTGCAGAATAAATGAAAACTAAAATTTGAAATATCACATGATCATTAGTATGAAGATCAACTGAGCAGAAGCACCTTTTTGATCTAATAAAACCATGAGATTTTTTGGAAAGTTTTTTTGACCCCGGATGTACAGTAGGGATTCTCTGCCATTTCTCCTTGCAGGCCCTGACCAGTCACTGTATATCATTTTAAATGGTGAATTTTGGTGGACAGTCATTTCCATGTTTCCCCAGAGATGCTCAATTGGATTTAAATCAGGGGTCAAAACCATCACTGAGTTGTTCCAAAGTCACTCTTTATTGTTTTAGATGTTTGCTTTGGATCATTGTCTTGATGGAAGTTGAGACTTCATTCCAGTATGAGGTCCTCAGCACCCTGGAAAAGTTTTTTTTTCTTCATTCATTCATTCATTCATTTTCCGAACCGCTTTATCCTCACTAGGGTTGCGGGGGGTGCTGGAGCCTCTCCCAGCTGTCTTTGGGCAGTAGGCGGGGGACACCCTGAATCGGTTGCCAGCCCTGGACCTCAGTCAGAGTGATATTTGGGTGCGTCTTTACTGCTCTCACCGAGGCTCTTCTCCCCCGATTGCTCAGTTTGGCCAGACAGCCAGTTGTAAATGTTTTCCATTTTAAGAATTATGCAGGCCTCTGTGCTCTTAGGAACGTTAAGTGCAGCAGAAATTCGTTTGTAAACTTGGCCAAATCTGCTGCTGGCCACAGTTCTGTCACTGAGCTCTTCATTCAGGTCCTTTGACCACATGATTCTCGTTTGTTCTGATATTCACTGAGCTGTTAAGTCTTCTATAAGCAGGTGTATGCTTGTCTGAATCAAGTTTAGTCAATACGATTAAATATAGCTGGAGAACAATCAAGGTGAAGAACAACCTCACGAATGATCGGAACAAATAGACAGCTCCTGAATTAAATATACAAGCCTCACAGCAAAGGTTACTTATGGCCATGTGACATTTCAATTCTTCATTTGTAATAAATCTTAAAAAAAAATAATAATAAAATAAATCTACAATTCTGTTTTTTGTATGTCAATATGGGGTGCTGTGTGTTCATCATGTGATTTTAGCTAATGGCTGCAATTTGAGAAAGATTGAATCATTTAATGGGGTATGAATACTTTCTGTACTCACTGCATGCCTTGCAATTGACCAGTCCCTGGTGCACACCGCTGGGATAGGCTCCAGCTCACCTGCAACCCTACTGTGGACAACTGGTATACAAAATGGATTGATGGATCCGGTACATATAAAAGAATTGAATGTGATATGTCCAAAGTATGTGTAAATTGTGAGTAACTTTGATGGAACCTTTTTGCTCTATCAAACAACTTGGAGCTTATTGCATTAAAAAAAACAAACATGAAAAAAAAAACAGATTAATGTTTTCAACATTTTTGCTCATTGACCTTGCTTTTGTGCATGTCTTGATGTGTGGATGTATGGAGACTTAAGGAGAAGGTAGTGGATGAATGGAGACTGAAGGAGAAGGTTGGAGGCCTGAACTGTATCGAATGACATGATGACACTGGATACATTGCTTTTGCTGCAGTCACACTTTTAAAGTCATAGACTATGAACATACACTGCATACGTTTTATAATACCACCCATCTGTCCATTTTCTATACCGCTTATCAAGTTCAAAATTATGGGGAGCTGGAGACTATCCTAGAAGTCTTTGAGCAAAAGGACTGGTCACCAGTATGTCGCAAGGAACGTATCGAGACAGACAAACATTCCCTCTCACATTTACACGGTCACTGAGTTGGAACTGAAACCACCCTGCCTGCACTGAAGTCAGGCAAATATGCCACCATCGGATTACATTTCAGTACACAATTACAATATGTAATAAATGGATACTGTTGAAAAATATTTTTAAAATCTGATACTTGTGTTTGTAGAAGTGGTGTTCGACAAAATAAAACGGAACAAATATTCACATCAGACATCATGCTGTAGGTCAATTGACGTGGCGTTCAGTCGACATCACATTTTGCTCAACTACAACCACCTAAACACAGTCACAGACTCCATCAGGCAACACTGTTATAATTTGTGATTGGTTGGTAGTACAGATAAGTAAAACCACATGTAGGACTTGTTTACTGAAAATGTAATTCTATTCGTTCTCGAGGACGTTGGAATACTGCAGATATCCTCAAAATTTGAGTCTTCAGCAATAGAGCTGTCAGCTCACATGAGTAATTCAAATTTGAAATTTTTAATGATGCGACACATAATGATAGTTGGAGCGCGGATTGTAATGATTGGCGCTTTAAATGTATATGGCAGAATACAGTCACTATTATGTGGGTTGCAAATAGTGTGGGAATATTTCTAACTTGAAAGAAAAAGCCATACATCAAGATGAGCTGGACTGTCGCCAGCCGCAAGGGCAATTAACCACGGCTTAGACAAGCACCTATGTAATACATTTTGGTTAGGGGCTGCTGTGGGTCTCAAAGGCTGATGGCAAACCCGAAGGATGATCACATAATCAGAAGCAGACTGAAGTTTGGAGGTAGGCACAACCAGACGGCATGGGGAGAAAGTGAGTGTGTTGTGTTTTTCTTTGCCTGCAGTTGCTCCATCTCTGGCGTCAGCTGTGGCTTGGCTGATGTGCACGTGTGAGCTCAAAGATGAAAAAGCAGCATCATATAGTCAACGTGAATTATGATACAAACCTGCGGTAGGAAAAGAAGGAGCTGCGCAACTGATTGGCACCGTCAGCAGGATGGGCTTTCACTCGTTGGCAAGTTTGAAAACCTTGTGGTGTGGCACATGGTTCAGTAGCAGTCTCTTGTCTTATCTTGATGGATTCCGTGCTACTGAGCAAAGTATCATTAGCTTCAATGTCTGTCAACAATAGAGCACTTCAGACCCTCTGCGTAGCAACAACTCATCAAACTATTCGGCAGCCTATATTTCAATAAAAATGTACCTGATGATGTAATGCGTGTCGTAAAGATACAGCCATGTGTTAAGCGAACAGCCTCAGATAATATCTGTGGATTCAACAACCGCAAAAATGAGTCAAAAATGATGCACGAGAATCAAACATTTTATTAACCATACTTAAATCTTCCTTGGCAGCTGTCATCACTTGAGGGATCTGTAAGACTCTTTTTTTTTTGCCTATTCATAATTTTGAAGCCCAAAAGACATTCCCATGTGAAATTGGTGTTGTTCCCTTTTTTGAATAAATGTGATGTTTGGCCTATTCATAATTTTGAAGCCCAAAAGACATTCCCATGTGAAATTGGTGTTGTTCCCTTTTTTGAATAAATGTGATGTTTGTTTCATAAGCTTTTTATTTGTATTGTGTCAAAAGCTTGGCTGAGATTTGGACTCCAGTTTTATGTTCAAATCCCAAGACTAAAAGTTAATTCTTCATGAGAAAAGGTTTTTAAGTGAAAAAAATACCCATACTGAGATTGATATTGTGCCAAAATAAATTTTAAACTGTTGGGGTGCGTTCTCCTTGGAAGAACTCAAGTCGACTGATTATAAAATGTGCTTTTAACAGCAGTGACATGACACTTTTGATTGTTATGAACTCACTGCCAAAATTTAAAACACCACTGCAGTATATAACTTCATTTTAAAGTAAGGCGCCATGTTAGGAACGGATGTCACAGCACGTCATTGACTGGGCAAATCCGTTGCACCATCAGTTGCTATTAGTGATACGCCGTATCGCTGTTGTTGTCATATGTTGTCATATCTTCATATCATCATATACTGTGCTTTGGGGCTAGACTCGTACCTCAAATCCGCAGCCGCTGATTGTTAACCATTCAACCACCA